CTTCCACCGAGGAAATGTGACACTAATACACATTATAAATGATATTAGATTCTATTATGGTGACATGAGGAGATGAGTCTGGGAGCAAGAAGTTTAACGATGAAGATTACAGATAAAAATAACAAAATAATAATAATGACCTTTCATGAAACAAAAGCAAATTTTATTAGGTGTCACTATCGCTACTATGATTCAAATCGCATATAAACAGTGCCTTGTAAATAGTGTTATATTTTACTGTGTAAAAAGTGACTCGCGTAAAAAAGTACAGCTTAAACGGAGGGACGGGAGTACTCGTTAAAATTTGAAATTTTTACCTCGAGTCCGACACAATATTGTACGGCGAGGGGTTAAATTCTCCCAAACGTAACCGGACTACACCGCAGCATCATCCCCGACCCGCTGCAAGCCGGTCGTGACGGCGATACGTCATCGCGGCGTAGCGGAGAGCGTGATACAACCCGTCCGCATTTAGCACGGGTTCACAAGCCAGTCTCTTCCGCCCTTTCCTCGCGTCCGCAGACCCGAGTGCGTCAGAGGGCTGGGTTGTTCGTGGCAGTTTCCAAATCGCGCGCGCGGTCTCGCGCGTCGCGAAAGAGGGACGCACCTGCATGCTGTTCGCTCCTCGGCGCGCAGCTGCGACCTTCGACGCCCTTGTGCCGACGGTTGTGTAGCGCGACGCACGTCCCCGTCATTTTTGCGCCGGACACACGTCGTATGGCACCGCGCGTTCCCGCCGCCGTTTCCGATTCCCCGCGTAGTGTTCACTTCGCGGACCCTTCTCTAACGTCGTGAAACTCATCTCTAACCTAAAAACCATCGGTGGTACCAAGTGGAAGCGAGTGACACGCGCGGTTTCCTCACTTTTTGCCCCTTTCGCTGGCGAATTAGCTTTTGCTACCTGGAGAACAAGTGCGCTCGGCTCTAGAGGGAACGACGGGTCTGCCACGCCGCGCCGCGAGAGTGTCACGCAGTTCACGTGCGCCCTGGAAGGGGCAGGAACGAAAAGATTGCCTGGCGGAAAGTCGGTGAGTGGCCACGCGGTTGATCCCGCGCCACGCGTGCTCCTCGCCTCTTCGTTTGTGTTTACTCGCGCACCCCCCTAGTGCTAGGGTGCATGACCTGTGTATACCTGCATGCTGAGCTGGGGGTGGTGTCCTCCGCCCATTGGACTTGTCGGGTTTCTTGTTGGCCGGATTCTTTTGTTCTTTGTCTTTTCTTTGTCTTTTTTTATTTGAAGCAACGTGTTTCAATATATAAGCTTTTTTAGAGGTACGGTTTGATGAAATGGTGTTTGGGAATTTTGTTGTTTGATGTTGATGATTCATGTCGATTTTCGCGGCATTGACACGTGAGATGACATGGCGGAGATGGTGGGCCGGTTGCGAATAATAGTGTATACTTAATGTTTTGATGGAAATCGGGTTTTAGGTTGATAGAGATGTTTCCGTTTTGTATTAGGTGTGAGAGCTTTGTCGAGACGTGTGAAACGGATTTGAATGATCCGGGCTGATCGCGCAGTGTGCGTTAGGTTGTATATATTTATTGCGTCAGTTTTGGATTTAGTGAGTGCTCCGAATTTTCGCGAACGATGTGATTGATGAAGTTACTCTTCGTGTGTTATTTTTTATTGAGGTTAGGACACTTTGAGTTCTGGCGTGATCTCGTGTCGGCGATTAGGTATTTTAATATTGGGGTGATGCAATAAATGTCCTTAGCACTGTTATGCGTCTCTGCCGGTGATTGCGCGTTGTTTTATTTTTCACGTGAGTAAGTATATTTGATGTCTATTGTAAACAAATATATTGTGTTATCTACGCTCTGGCGGTACACGTTTCGTTTCACGTTATCGTGAAACTTAAAAATATATTATTGAATTTTGGGGCAGGAAGAATTGTACACGGTCTGAAGTTAGAGACAGATTGAATAACTTGATTTCAGTGAAAATAAAATCGCAAACAATTGTCTCGAATGTTTTTTTACATTCTTTATTGTGAATGTATTTTTCTTTTGACCATGGAATACAGTTCTTTCTTCCTTTTATTTTAACTGTTATCGAATGTTTAATGTGATTGAAGTATAAAACCAAAAATGCAAATTGAGATTTTAATGTTGTAATAATAAAAATATTTATTAAAAATACTTAGGTTTGTTTTATTATGAAATCATTGATTGATTAATTAATAATTTATAATCACAGTATGATATTTCATGTAATTTTTGAAAACTTTATAAGGATCGATGTTTCGATTGATTTGAATTTAACCTAATTCAAATTAAGATTTTAAACACTTAAAATAACATAATACTAATAATAATAGTAATAACAACAATAGCAACAACAATATTCATATTTTTTTGTACTCTTTTACAATTCCAATTTTCGTAGAATTTATAATACTTTACGGGAACTTCGAATAGTAATAAACATTTTCGTTTTATTAACAAACTGCTTTAGCATTACGAATAATTATAAATTCCAATTTTTCGTTCACTCTTTCTTTTTCAAATTGTTCTTACGTGTTATCTCGATACTCCATTTACAAGACTAAAATATAAATCGACCCGCAGATTTCAAGTTATAAATAACAAGGCGCAAAGAACGCGCACGTGATCAAACAAGACGTATATTTCCGTCTGTACTATTAGTTTACCATTACGTAATAACTGTCATCGTGGATGTCATCGATGACTTTTACTGACGCGAAGGTGTACAATGCCGGACCTCGCATAGTGTTATCCGACAATGGGGAAATGCATTGGACAATTTGCCGAACAC